CAGATTTACTATATATCAATTAAATAGGGGTCATGCTAAAACGAAATACTGAAATTCGGTCTCAAAACGGTGTCAAGTAGCATATTACTTGAAGTTGAATGAAATTTGTTGCTTGTTGGTTTTCGTCGAATTCTGTCATAGTCCAGTCATTATTGGTAACGGTATCGATCGAAATGCTGAACCTGCACTTAAATTAGATTTTTTTAGTGGTAAATATAGCTCTTTTAGGCATATTATATTGCTTAATGAATCATTTTTGATAGCCTTAAGGCGGCTCCGACGCAGTGAGTTTCAAGCCATTTACAAGGGTCCAGCGGCTTCGAAACTGACACTCCAGTTTTCAATATTTTTGAATGAAATTTATACAGTATGTGCAGAAGATAATTGCCCAGGGTGCTATATGAGCACTTTTTGAAATTTTCTTTTTGCACAAGTTTTCTGATGGGTTGAAGTGCGCACTTTTTCTGTTCAACTTCGCGATTTATTTAAAAAGAACCTAGTGAAAAAACTGAAACAGTGGCTGTATAGCACCCTGTGGGGTTTTGTTTTCAGCACACTATGAAAATTTCATTCAAAAATATCAAAAAATAAAGCGTCAATTTTGAAGCGCGCAAACCTCTACAAATCGTATTTTGGACGATTTTTCTCTACTGTTTCGTGCTGCCAACCCAAGCGTTGCGGCGCAATGTACGGACTGAGAAAGGACGTATTCAGATAATTTGGTGGCCCTATTTCATATAATATCGCATAGATAAGTCGTTCTGCAAATATGTATTCATAATCGCGATCGCTGATACTCCTCGATTTTAAAGCCGTTTTACTTCCCATGCCTGTGGCGAGGAAGTATTGAAATCGCGAAAAATTTCTAAAATGAGATGCCATGTTTTTTCAAGTCATATGACATCTACATCACGAAAAACTTGGAATTTACTGCTCGGATTTTTATGAAATTTCCACATGGTGTTACTAGTATGCCAAAGCTTTGTAGTTTTAGTCCAATGGCAAGGGTGCTATAGGCAAAAAAGAAAAAGTAACAATTGCTGAAACTCCGTTTTTGACGTTACAGGGGTTCCTTATCATTGACATAAAAAAATGTACTGCTTAAAAAGTGGGGGTTGGGGGAAGGTGATTCTAAATGTTGCATCTTTGATATCAGTGAAACACGTTCTATTATTAAGAAGGTTCTCGTCAGAGTGATTACAGGAAATTTAAGTAACGAAAACCCGACGACAGTAGGGAAGAATGAATTCGGATATTATTCCAGTCAAGTATGAGGGAATTTAGTGTGGAACTTTAAAATTATCGATATGTCAAGGAAATGTGTTTTTGAGAACGATAATTTGGTAGATTTTATACCTGCATTTTCATTTGAATTTCATGACTTGTGAAATGTACCCATCTCGCCGTCACCTTCAGTTTGTGCTGTGCATTTTGTGATGTTTTTCTGGAAATAAGCAGGACATAATTGCCTAGGTGCTATCAAGCCTTTCACAAAATTTTGAGTTTGTGCAAGAATTATGGTGGGTTGAAGTGCTTACTATTTGTGCTCAACTTCTTGATATTTTAAAAAGATTCTAGTAGATAAAAACTAAAATGTGGATCGTTAGCACCCTGTGGACTTTGTTTTTAGCACGCTGCAAGAGTTTGGAAATAATAAAAAATGAAACGTAAGCTGTGAAGTGCAAATCCGTTTTTGGGCGAAATTCGTCTACTGTTTCGTCCTGCCAGTCCAAGCGACGCGACGGTACGTTCCGACTAAGAAAAAATGTATTCAAATAATTTGATGTCTTTAGTAAAATAAATTCAAGAACTCAAATTCAAATTCGTTTATTCATGTCAATAAACACAATTATGTTTACAAGGATCATGTTTTACATGGTAACAATTGCACGAGGGTCATAAAATTATCTTATGCCGTCAAAATAAGAGGAAACAGTTAGGTAGTTTTTGCAAAGCTTATACCTGGATTAAGTCTACTGAAATAGGTAGATGGAGGCGATGCTGCTAGAAATGGATTTGTGCGATCAATAAACAAGCCACAAGATTGAACTGCCGTGTCCAATGATTTTTGTATTGCCTTTTGTATTACCTTACTAGAAAACACTGTTGGGTATATGATGGAGTTTATTAGAACTTTACAGCTTGTTGTCTGCCTTCTTCTACAAACTTCACCAAATCGAGACGCTGTCAACTTTATCCTCCGATGAAGGCGCCACAAAGTACAGTCCTGTGATTTGGTGACTTCGCCATAAAACTACTCATCTTCTTTAAACTCACTGCATTCGTAGTTAAAATGGTCGCTTATGACCTTTTATTGTCCATTATCAACCTTGATAAAAAAAGGCACTCAAGAACAATCACACCAACAAGAGTACAGCACAACAATTCAACAACACAATATCTACGAACATTAACAAGGGGAGAAAAATACTAAATGATCACTTGCTGAGTACCAAAATAGGAAACGATTTACAGGCTAGATCGCTAATCGAAATCCGACTCTGTTATTATAAAAATTTACCTGGGTAGGCACCCGCAGTCATCCTTTCCTCTTTTAAAGTAGCGCCGACGACCTTCTAAGGCCAGCCCACCATCGTTTCCTTTTCACCCCCCCGTTACCTCAGCAGATGGTGCTCGTGATTGTAGGAGCCCCGTTAAGAACAGAATTAGCGAAAAATAATATGTTCTTAATTATCTAGGATGGCTTACTGAATATCAAAAATCTTGTGCTAACGAAATCTTGTAGGGTGAATGTGCCAGTAACCCGGACACTATCCGTAGTCGGACAATTAATCTATTATCAGTAAAAACTTGAATATTTGAAATCCTATAGTTGCTGGTAATAGGTACCAGATTTATCAAATAATTTGTGAGACAAACAATACAATAAATGTATATTCACAAAATCAAATGATGATTGGGAGGTATATAAAACTCTTAGGAGTAAATCTGTGTATATAATTAGAGAAAAAAAAAGGAAATTCTACGATAAACAAATCGATAATAACAAGTGCGACAGTGTATAGATGTGGAAAACTTTAAAAAGACTGATCAATTCGAAGCCGCATGATTGTGTAAATCAAGTTCAATTCGAAAACGGTACAGGATGCAATCAAACTAAATGAATATTTTGTGGAAAGTATTGTTGATATTGTGGGTACCGCCAATACTGCACCTGACTATATGAAAATCAATTTCCAGGGGAAGTGTTGCATACACTTTCAAAATTTCATAGCGTATAATTGAATTATCTAAGAAAAAAAGTAAACAGTTTAAAATCAAATAACAACTGTGCCGAAATCACCACTAAAAACGTGCTGAAAAACTGTTTCGAAATTTTGGGATATCCTGTATTAAATTGGATCAATTGTTCACTGAGAAGCAGTTCTTTTCCTGAAAATTTGAATTGCTCTACAGTAACACCAGTTCCCAAAATAAAAAATTCTAAAAGATGCAGCGATATGAGACCAGCAAATGTGTTACCAGACATTGAAAAATTATTGGAGTCCATAATAAATGCAGTTTATAGAAGAAAACAAAATTTTAGTGGAGGCGCAAGCAGGCTTTCGAAAAAAATATTCCACAGAAATGGCTTTCCAGTTGGTAACTGAAAATTGGAGAAGAGCCATAGACTCAGAAGAAGTTGCCATAACAGTATTTTTGGATTTGAAACGATTGATATATTTTGTTAGGTAAATTGAAGGCATATGGTATATCAGGAAGTGATTTAGATTGGTTTAGAAATTATTTGTCTAAAAGGATGCAAGTTACAAAAGTTAATGACACTATTTCTTAAAAAATTGGAAATACGTTGGGTGTTCCACAGGGCAGTATCCTGGCACCACTTCTTTTTATTTTATACCTGCCATAGTCAAAAATGCAAAATTCAGATTTTCGCTGATGACACTATGATTTATATAAGTAGGTACTCAAAATATTCAGACTGGTATCTTTTATCTAAATGTAGACTTGAAACTTATCTCAAAATGGTTAGCATCTAACAGACTCAAATTAAATACAAGTAAAACGAAAGCTATGTTAAACAATGTACAAATGATCAACTGAATATCGACGGTGAAGGTATTGAATTCATAGAAAATTTCAAATACCTGGGAGTTTTTGAAGACTCTCGATTAATTTTTGATATTCATTATGAAAAAGTGACAAATAAGATTAGTAGTAAAGCGGGATATTTATCAAGAGTTTATGGATGTCTGAGTTCATATAGCAGAAAAATTATCTATAATTCCATCATTCTTCCAAATTTCTTGTACTGTTCGACTATTCTATATTTAGCAAATAATTCCATTTTTGAAAGACTGCAAATTTTACAAAACAAGTGCAGGAGAATAATACGGAATAAAGATAAATATACTCCAATTAGTAAATTAAAATGGCTCAATGTAAAAAAGTTTATCAAATATCTTGTAATGAAATTTATTTATAAAGTAAAAAATAATATATTTCCATCAAGTCTAACTAATTTAACATCATCAAATGCCGACCATCATTTACATAATACCAGAAATAAAGATGACTTCCATTTAATGACCAAAAAGTATAACATATACTACAAATCTGTATTCCATCAAGGGTAAAGTAAAATTGAGGAATAACTTGTTAAATCTACAATTATAGCTTGCCCAGCATTCACATCATAGATCATATGGCTTGAATTTACTAATTCTAAGTTGTTTACAATTATTCTGTTTCTGTTGCCAAATATGCTAAATAAATCTTTCAACTACTACCACTACTAGTTTCCAAAAATTTTACATCCACAGTTGTCATATTGGCAACGGTATTAGCGGATTGAAAACAGCATGCTCTATGATACAGGCTGCCGAAACAGCCGAAACGTCATTAACTAGTCTATTTAACATATGTGATTCTATTTAATGATCAATGTAATAGATGCGAACGGAACATATATTTTTTAACAGTAAGATCATCCCAAGGATGCAATCTTTTTACAGTAGATTTAAATTTAAGCTTTCACTTTAACAAGAATAAATAGTACTACCAGCGCCATCTGTTCTAAATCGCGCCAGTGACTCTCCTTCGATGCCAGGCTGACACCGAGTGGTACTACTAGCGACATCTGTTGGGGACTGCGCCAGGGACTCTCCTTCGAGATCGACGCGAAGTGACCTCGAAGATTCTGGACTGCCGCTATGCGGCTCACCGGGACGTTCTCGAACTAACGAGTACATGCGATGCGGAATATATAAGCCGACGGCCGGGAGAGGGATGCAGTGATGAGTGAATGGCGCGACATATTAATTCGTAAATAAGTAGTCAAACTTAAATAGTGGTGTACATAAATATTCTATCTAGTCAAGTTAAAGTTAGTTGTGTTGTGTTTTAAATATATTAGTGCATTTCTTTTTGTGGAATCGAATGTTTTAATCCACACTCAAAAGAACCCAGAAAAACGCTACAGTTTATATAATTTGAGTTATAACCAACTTTCGAAAAATTGGTGATATCACAATTGTTAGGATAGTCCAAAGATCAAAATGATGCACAGGAAAATTTCTAAGATCAAAAATTGAGAATCTGCCCCAAACTTGACTAAAAAACATTACTTCATTTACTCACCCTGTATAAGTGAATAACCAAAAGAAATATACCGGTCGAACCCTGTTTGTGTTCTCAAAGAGTTGGTCAAGAACCTTTCGAATATATCAACTCGATATCTTTTTCCGTTCCGAAAATATCGAGATTTGAATTTGGGCAAAATTTTCCATGTTGCAAAGCACCTGCCCACTAGATTAGCTTTTAAATTCTGCCATTTCAGTACCTTGTGACAGTACAAATTATGTTCCAGTTTTGCTACCTTGTTGTTATGCCCCGCGTTTTAAACCACAACTTGAAACGACACAACCTTAATAGTTTGTCTATTTTCAAGCGTATATTTACTTATAGCCTAATAAATCTGCTACATTATTATATTGTGGCAAATAGTACTGTTGGCGCCATCTGTTGGGCGAGTCTCCTACTCGCCAGAGCTTCATGACCGATCTCTGCTTTCACGCGAACCACGACCGCACAAGCCGCAAGCCATCAAGTTAAATAAATCAGTGCATTTCTTTTTGTGGAAACCACTGTTTTAATCCACACCCAAAAGAACCCAGAAAAACGCTACATTGGTGTCAGCTTTGGAGTGTGGATTATTGGACATTTAGTGAAAATAAATCGGACGATCAGTGAAGGAAGAATGGCGCGATTGGTTGATTTAAAGAGAGAGCTGGAGGAAAGAGAGTTCGACACGGTTGGCAAGAAAGCAGAATTACAGGAGCGGCTTCGCCAAGCACTGATTGAGGAAGGTGAGGACCCGGATATTCTAATTTTCACCGGGTCAGGGGATATTGGTTCAATGCTGCAAAACCTTTCGACAAAGTTAGAAAACAAGCTCGTGGAAAATTGTGCCAACCTATAAGGAAAGCTCATGGAAAAATGTTCCGATCTTTTAGAAAACTCAGCTAAGTTAGAAAATGGGCTCGTGGAAAATTGTGCCAACCTAAAAGGAAAGCTCATGGAGAATTGTGCCAACCTAGAAGGAAAACTCTTGGAGTTACACGAAAGTACAGCCAAATTAGAAGAGAAGTTTTTGGAAAATACTGCCAATTTAAAAAAAGAATTGGAAGATAAAATTATGAAAAAATCTTGCGAGTTGGAAAAACGGATTTTAGAAACTTTGGAGGACAGAATTCAAGAAGGGTAAGTTTGCCGCTTTAGACGTCAAGACCATCGACGAACCACAGCGTAGACTTTCGTTGGAAAAATCAAGTGAGGTTGGAGCTCCTGTTGGGTCAGCTGGTCATCAGCGAATGAAACCGCCTCAATTTGATCTTACAACGCCTTGAAATGTCTACCGATGTCAGTTTGAGGCAGCCGCGAATGCAAATGGTTGGTCATCGACCGAAAAGGCAACTGCACTAACTTTGGCCCTACGAGGAGATGCTGCAGCTATTCTTCAAAGAATATAATAATAATAATAATAATAATAGACGTCTTTATTTATCCACAATTACATTTTAATATAGCCAAATGTCAGACTTATATGGCGAAGTTTAGCATGCTGCTACTCTTACACTTAACCATATAGTCTCTAGCAGGTGTTCAAAAGAATACACTATCCACAAACAGATTTGGTTCATTACATCGAAAGTAAAATTTAAAAAAAGAGAAAAAGGCATACTTTCCAAACCCAAATGCATCAAAAAATTATTAATCTGAATTAAAGATGGAATAAAAAAGAAATGAATGATTACGTAAATTATATGTGTGGAGGGTTGAGTAATAATGTTTTAACTTTTTGTCGAAAGACAGGTAATGAAAATTCTTTATATACTTTAGGAAGGTCATTATAAATAGTAGCAACATTGTAAGAAAAACTGCGTTTAAAAAGTGTAGACGTATGCAGGGGTATTCTAATATTTTCTCTGAGAGTTCTACAGTGAACATCATTATGAAATGAATTTTTTTCCTTCAAGTAATAAGGTTTAGACGTGAGCAGCAATTTGTGAACAAAAACTGAATAGTGATACTTGACCATGTCATTAATTTTTAACCAGTTTAGAACGGGATATTTCGCTGATACATGATCAAATTTACGTAAGCCAAAAATGAATCGTATACAATTGTTTTGAATAACTTGAATAACGTTTTTAGTGAAATTGTCTAAACAAGTATAGTATACGATATTACAATAATTTAGTATAGATATGACCAATGCTTCACATAGTTTTCTACGCATCTTAAAATTTAGTAAATACCTGTTTGCTATAAGAGTGCGCAGCCGTAGGTAGGTTTTCTGAGATAGACTTTTAACATGTTCAATAAACCTTAATTTTGTATCAAAAACAACACCAAGAATTTTTGCAAAATCAGAAAGTTGCAAGATTTGGTTATTTATCTGAATGTTCAAGAGCTGTGTTACATTGTATGTTTTTCTTTGTGCGCAAAATAATAACATTTTAGATTTTTGTGGATTAATAAATAGATTGTGATCTAAAGAGTATTTAATTAATTTATTTACATCGTTTTGTAAAATTTGAGTAGTATTATTGACATTATCTGGGTTAAAATAATGAAGCAATTGCGTATCGTCTGCAAATGACTGGACATGAGAATTATCAATACTTTTGCTTAAGTCGAACGTATATATGAGGAACAGAAGCGGCCCTAATACAGAGCCCTGAGGTACGCCTGAGGGAATTATTGTCACTTGAGACATTTCTTGATTGAGAAAAACACACTGAGTTCTTTGATGAAGGTAACTGTCGAAAAATGAAAGGGATACACTGTCAAGACCTATGTAATTTAATTTAGCAAGTAATAATTTATGATTGATGCTGTCAAAGGCTTTCGAATAGTCTATAGAGATTAAGGCTAGTGCCATATCACCCGAAGAGCAAGAGGTCTACGAACAACTAGTAGAAAATTTGTCGCCTAAACTTCAATCATCCTGGGACGGGCCATATAAAGTTCTGGAGGCCATCAACGATGTTCTCTACAGAATTCAGAAGGCACCACGCGTTAAAGCCCGGTAAAGTAGTTATTTTCTGGCAGATAGAAGCTAAGGTTGATAATTCCGAGATTCGGAACCAAAATACAATTAAGCATCTGGGTGTGTGGCTTGACAAAGATAATGCCATCTGACGGAGGCCCTGGTAGTGAAGGCGCAGGATTTTGGCCAAAAAGTAGTGCTGCACGTGGAATGCGCATACAGAACGATGTCGACCAGTGAACTGCTGGGCGGTAGCTGGTATCCCGCTAATTGATTTGCTGGCTGCGGGGCTATGTGCACTCTACAAAAAGGCCGTCGAAGCTACAAGCGCTTTTTGTCAGCTGGCAAGAGAGATGAGATGCAACTGACAATGGTGCATGAACCAGAAGACTGCTCCCAGATACTGAAACTTGTTTTGACAGTTACATGAACAGGGTAGGAAAGAGAGAGTTCACGATTTGGGTATATTGCAATGAGATGATATTCCTAATCACCTACTCCAATGTGGTAGGTTGACTACCAGACACAGCTGGAACTGACGCTCGGCGAGAGGCACAATGCTGACAATTTTGCCACGCATATACGCGAAGGAAAATGGGTTTATATTCAACCAATAGTAAGGCGTATGATGCTGAGTTAGCTACGGGAGAACAAACATAGACCAATGAACCAATAGTAGGTTTCTATTTTGCTCGGTTGTACACGTACATACGTATAGAAGTATGTATCTGTAAAATAGAGAATGGAAGACTAATACCTTCGGTATGAGCAAGTAGCACAACGCTACCTACTATTAAGAAACGCTGCAAGCATTAATGTGGTGGGATGTGTGGTGAGCGACTGAGCGGTTTTAGGTTTTCTGGAGAATGTCACATCTCCTGTTAAAAAAAGTCTTACTGAATTAACATTTTTAGAATACATGTTACAATCCGTCACTCCATCACCGTTAAATCTCATACCCACACCATTTGGAATTTCAAACTTCCTGTTATTGATGAATGGCGGAAAAATCTCAGAGAGTGAGAAGAAACTTTGTGATGAGGTAGATAGCAAAACAGAAGACTTGGAATATCCAGCTCTCATGACGCATTTGGTGCAAAGGTAATCATTTGGACGGAATATTACTCATAAAGAACTACATTTTGAGAAAATCTATTTATGGCATGTTATCCATGACATTTGAGGGCATATTTCTAAAATATTGGCAATTTTGACTTACATATCAAAGTTATGTTTTTTTAAATCGAATGCCTAAAATTTTATTGCATATTTGAATAAACCAATTCAAAAGTTGAAGATTGATATAACATGGTAATAAGCTACTGAGATGTCCAGAAAAACCGTCCAACCCCTCAATCCGCCATTTTCTAGTGCTGAATTTTGTATCAAAAAAAATTACGCACCTCAGCTTTTATCTTATTTGTTACTTTTTAGAACTAAGACATTTTTTAACTAATCAACAATTTATTTGTTTCCAAGGATGATGCGATATTTTAGGGAATTAAGTCGTTCCATAAAAGATGGATATCCCAAAAAATAGCCGTAAAAACCCTTATGTGTCTAGTATCAAAAAAAAACTTATAAAAAATTGAATCCAAACTTGCACAAATATACAGGGTGATGCATTTAAAATTTTTGAGTAAAACTACAATTTGCGTTTTTGACCACTCTGTATGAGCAAAAATTAAAATTCGAAAAAGTAACAAATAATATGAAAGCTGAGGTGTGTAAGTTTTTTTTGATACAAAATTCAGCACCCCAAATTTGAAAATTTCGGACTGAGGGGTTGCCGAAGTGGAGGGTTTTTCTAGACAAAACATCTTATATCTCAGTAGCTAATTACCAAAACCCCATAGTATGTTATATCGATTTTCTTCTTTTGAATTGGTCTATCCAAATATGCAATAAAATTTGAGGCATTCCATTCGAAAAATCACAACTTTGATATGGCGAATATTTTAGAAATGTGCCCTCAAATGTCATGTATAACATCCCATAAATAGATTTTCCCAAAATGTATTTGTTTATGAGTTATATTCCGTCCACACATGGATGGACCACCCTGTATTTGTCAGAAATGTGTTGAACGTCAATTTTTTCAGAAATTTGTATTATAACAAAAAAAAAACATCTTAAAAAGTGAAAGTTTCAAGACCCCACACCATCATAAAGAGTTGAACAGATAAAATTGATGACCCTTTGATTTTGACAGGTATTTCCGAGAGAAAGATTCGGCCGTAGCAACTGCAAGTGAAATGGACATATTTAGGCAGGAAATCCACGAACTAAAAGTTCTTTTAAACAATATAATCGAAGGTTCCTGAGATATTTCCTAATATAATTATGTTTGTATTCCTTTACATATATTTATACGTTTTTTTATTGTTATACCTTATTATTATAAAAACACTTATATTCAATTTGTACGGTTCTTTTATTCAACGGCACTACTTTCGTTTCGTTCATCCAACCGACCAGTGCCATTTCATCCTCATTGGGAATCACCTGTACGTACAGGTTATGGAACAACAAACAAATGTGGTCATTTCTACTTAAATACACCAAGGCACCCTGCGACTGCACAACTGTAACCTGGCTGGCGAAGCAATCTTTCAGCCGGCGCCCACTCTATTTCAGTGGCCGGCTCTCACAGCAGGTAGCAATTGGGTCTAATCTATAGCCATGATCACCCACAATAGGCTACCTGACTCATATCTACAGGGTGGCGCATCGAATACGAAACAGACGCATTTACTTGCAGCTGTTTTTTTTTGAAAAACGCTCAGACCCGGCAATTTGGTTTTCGAGGGTGACACAAGTTTGGCAAAAAATTACGTTAGCACGTGCAGCCCCCTAAGCGGGGGTGGCACCACCCCCAAAATCTTAAATGGAAAGGGGGGTCGAGTAATACCTTATTTTAAAGGTCTTTCAATTCCCTTTATAATGATATAAAATTAATGTACTTCAGTTCAGTAGTTTTGAAGATTTATTGATTTAAAGCTTAAATAAAACTAATACATCATCATTAGTGGAGATCTATAATACATTTGGCAGCAAAGTAATTTAAAAATGAAGAAAGAACTGACCCGTTAGGCAAGTAAATGTTGAAAATGGCCACTATGACTCTCCATGCAATAATACAGATTTTGCTCGAAACGTTGCCGCACATTTTGCAATATTTGAGGAGTAATTTGAAGGCACTCATTCACAATTCTTTGTCGCAGGTCTTCTAATTATGTTGGCTGAGTAGCATAGATTTTGCTTTTTAAATGACCCCACATAGAGAAATCCAAAGTTGATAAATCTGGCGATCTTAGGGGCCATTCAATGCCACCTGTTCTACTAATCCATCGATCTGGAAACGTCTGATCTAAATATTGTCGAACACGTAATGCGTAATGTGGTGGGGCACCATCCTGTTGGAACATCAACCTATTCGCAATGTACCGCCGATCATTCTGATTTTCAATTATGACTGTTAATGCAGAATCTATGGCGTCTTCCAGTAATTCCTAATAAATTTCACCGGTCAAATTTTCAGGTAAAAAAAGGACCAACTAAATGATCGCCAAAAATACCAGCCCAAACATTTAATTTTTGTGGCTGCTGTGTATGAACCTCATGATGAATTCTTTGATTAGAATCGGACCAACATCGGCAGTTATGACGATTTACTACGCCATTTAAGAAAAAGGAATATTCGTCGAAAAAGCAGGTGTTGAATAGAAGATGTTCATAGTTTATAATTCGTTCACTCATATCTTCACAAAAGTGTAATCGCCGATCAAAATCGTCTTCATTAAGTTCTTAAACCAGGTGAATTTTATACAGATGAAAACTATGGGCCTTTAGAATCCGTTGGACAGTACATAAACTTACCCTAAAACCCCCACTTCTATTGCTTCGTTCCTTATGGGAGTTTCAATGTTGCGTTTTTATTGGCGACTGACCCAGTTTCCCGAAATTTAGCTACAAGTTCTAGAACATATTTTCGATGCACGTTACCGTTCGCATGTCGCTCATTAAATATTTCTGCTGTTCTATTAGCGCACTGATTATTTTCGAAAAATATTTCGATAATTTCGAACTCTTTCTGCTGTGGAAGATACCATGGTTAATTTATGTAACAAAGCGTTACAAGTTATTTTAGCAACAAGAAATAACTTTTTTGTCACAAAAAAAAACGCTCCAATAGCTATTTTCAACAACAAAATGATAAACAAACCATGGGCGTAGTGAAGAAAAGCATTTACTTATTAAGTAAATTCTTTTAGTCAAATTTCTTCTGCAAGTAGTACAAACTAATCTGATGTACCTATTAAAGTCTACTTTAAGCTTTAAATCAATAAATCTTCAAAACTACTGAACTGAAGAAAATTAATTTTATATCATTATAAATTGAAAGACCTTTAAAATAAGGTATTACTCGACACCCCTTTCCATTTAAGATTTTAGGGTTGGTGTCACCCCCGCCCAGGGGGCTGCACGTGATTTTTTGCCAAACTTGTGCCCCACTCGAAAACAAAATCGACGGGTCTGAGCGTTTTTCCAAAAAAAAAACTGAGCTGCCAGTAAATGCGTGTTTCGTTTTCGATGCGCCACCCTGTATAATAATAGCATAGAATAAATCAGTATTTCATAGGAGGTACCCAAAAATAACCGGAATAGCATTGCATTGGGCGGAGCTTGTGTAGTACACATTTCTGTCTTGAGGCGTACAGCGCAACTCATTACCAGTTCAGTGCCGCCTGAGTTGTCGATCTGGCTTGTTTGGTTCCTCTGTAGTCATTATTTTTGTTAGTGTTTCGTTTTTTACAATGGCACGCTTCAGTGAGCAACGTGCAGCTGTGAAATTTTGCTGTCTAATTGGTAAAAATGCTGCTGAATCTGTTTTAATGTTGCAAATAGCTTACAAAGATGATGCTATGGGAAAACCTCAGGTGTACGAGTGGTTTTTGCTCGATTTAAAAATGGCGACATGTCGATTAATGACAAACCTCGCTCTGGACGTCCATCAACTGCCCGAATCGATGGAGGTTTTAAGACGATTGCAAAACAGTGTTCGACAAAAAAGAGCCGATTTGTGGCAGTCAGGAGACTGATTCTTCCACTACGATAATGAACCTGCGCACAGTCATCTCTGTTCGACAGTTTCTGGCTAAAGATGGCATGGTTCCGCTGCCTCACGCACCATATTCGCCTTATCTGGATCCGTGCGACTTTTTCTTACTTCCACGGATTAAAAGGGGCCTGGAAGGACGCCGCTATGACGACATTGAAGAGGTCAAGAAAAAACAAGGTAGGAGCTGTCAGACATTTCTGAGGAAGACTTCAAAAAATGTTTCGAGCAGTGGAAGCACCGGTGGGACAAGTGTATTAGTTATAGTGGACAGTATTTTGAAGGAAATAAGGTTACTTTATGAAAAAGTTGGAAATACATAGCTTTTGAAAAATAATTCCCGTTTTTGGGGTACCCCCTCGTATATAGGTCCGATTTAAAAAAGCATACAGGGTGGCTCAACGAAAAGGTCGCACTCCCATTTGTGAAGATCTCGGTATATTTTAGGAAAAACGCTCGGACACTTCAATTTCGATTTCTATATGGTCGTATTTTCATCTATAGCCGTACAATACAGGGTGATTCAAAAATAAGATATTGCGTTACACCTTACGTTTTTAAATGGAACCCACATTTTTTAACTTTTCTCCATGAAGTTTCTGGTAACTTTTGTATATTAAAGTTTATACCTATCTTCAATCGTTGCGAAGCTATTTGAGTTTATAACATAATTCTAGAAATTGTGATAAAGGATTACCATTACTAATAGCATAAGGGCATCTAATTTTTTCGAAAAAATCGAAAAAGCATGTAATATTTTAACAAAAATCCGAGTCGAAGACGAGCATTGTTGCACCGGCACGAATGCATGAAAAGTATATGACTTTACATTGTTTTTTCGATTTTTTTCACAGGGAAAAATTAGATGCCGAATGGTATTTGACATTCATGAGTAACAGATTATTCTGCATACTTATCTGGCACCCTAGGAGATCATAATTACCCGTTATCAAAGGTGTTGTAATTTTTGGTGACAACTGCCGTGAAGTTTTGCCGCGGGTTAACTCGAAAAAACTGGTGACGTGCTGTCATATAATTCTTCCACATAGAACCCATTTGTAATCCAAAATTGCGCGTTTGTTATTGGTAGAAATTAAGACGAGGGAAATAGTCGTATATAGTCAAAATCACGAAAGATGACTATTACGTCATACCATAAATTGTACTGAAGTAATCAATGGACGTACGTCGATGCCAGGAACATAATGACAAGACAACAGATTTATATTATGATTTTGCGAAGTTAGGTTATTTCACCAACTATTTTCATTTTATTTCACGGTTCTGGGTGATACCTTCATAATAATTTTAGTACAGAGTTTTTGTTTTGAATAAAAAAACAGTTAAGAGTAGAATACCTTAGGACAGGTAGACCAAAGTATTATTCGAAAACAACCTAACCTGCTTTAACATATCCTATCTATTCATCCTTCAAATATGATCGATCATGCAACATGAAAACATCGTCTATCTTTGTGGGATACATGCAAATTAGCAATACAGTTTGTTTAGACAATAAAATTCCTGTTTGTCTCTGTCAAACACATCTGAAACTTCATTAAAAATATTCACAAATCCCTGTCGTTTGTCTTTACTACAGACTAAAATGATAAAAATAAGTCTCCGAGTATTAAAAAAAAACAAAAAACAACTTACAGTTTACACGCACATTGAAGTTGAACTAAAAATTAATTTGATATAAAGAGGTAGGTCAATGTGCTAGTAAGTGCTGAAAGTGGTGTCCATTTACCTCCATGCAATAATAAAGATTTTATTAGAATCTATTCATCACATTTTCAAGCATGTCTTGAGTTATTTGTCTACATTCACCGGTAATCTGATGAAGAAGATCTTGAATGGAATCTGGCTTCGTACTAAAAACTTTACTTTTCAAATGCCCCCAAAGGAAGTAATCTAAAGGACTTAGGTTCGGAGATCTCGGCGGTCCCTCGATGGGGCCTCGTTTGCCGATCCACTGATGCGGGAAATGTATCTCCAAAAACTATCGGACTGGAGTCACATAGTGCGACGGTGCGCCATCTTGTTAAAAATGAATGTCTTTTTGTATTGTATTTTCTAACATGTAGTACGTCTCGCCCGTCAAGTTTCCAGGAATAATGAAAGGTCCTACAATATGATTTCCGAAAATGCCGGCCAACACATTTTTTCCTGGATATTGCGAGTGTATTTCTCGAAACAAATGTGGATTCGAGTCACTCCAACATCGACAATTGCGTCCATTTACAGCACTATGTAAACAGAACGTACACTCATCCGAGAAACAAATATTAAATAACAGAT